CCGAGTCTTGGATGGGCCATCTTGGGGCTTCGGTGACGGTGATGCCTCCCTCTTGCTTGGCCTTTTAGGTGTGTTATCCTTTCCATTCGCTGCGTCTTTATGAAACTTCTCGTAGAAGGCGCCTTTCTCCATGGGATCCACTCCCTTACCCTTGCCTTCAGGTGGTGGGACTCCAAACTCATCGCCTTCCTCGTTCGCGTGGCGGTTGTTGGTGGTACTACCGACCTCTTCGCCGTCGCTATTTATTTCCACCGCGACAGCTGCCATTTTGATTGTCGAAACACCCGCCCTCCGTCCCTCATCCAGGCTAGAAGCCCTCGGGTGTTTCCAGGATTCAAACAATGCCCTCTGGATATTCACATCGTCCTCATCCTCGCTGTTGTCCGAATCAGTGAGTAACTGCAGAACCTCTTCCTCAGTCTTGAACTTCTCAATAATTGATTCAAACAGGTCCTCGCGGAATGTCCTATTCACAAATGTGAATGTATTCAATTTGGGTGCTAAGGGTATGGTATATTGAACGTTTGTTGTGGTTACTGACTCATCGTCAGTATCCTTGCTCTCTTCTGTGAACCATCCCGGAAAGTATTTGGCTTGGACCGCCATTGTGGCCCCAGACGAAAGGTTTTTCGCCCGCCACTTTCTTCTTCCCCAACCTCTCGCGCTGGACTTTTGTCCACCCTGCCGCCCGCGCCATCCTCTCCTTCATCAATGTTTCCTCCTCGTCATCGCTTTCCGCCAACTCTAAATTCGTTCGCGGGAACTCGGGGAGGTGGTCAAAGATGTCAATTGGTCGGATGCGCGGAGGCCGAGCTTCCTGCCACGCGTCTGGGTCCGGACCTGGGAGCTGTCCGTCTTCGAGCTCGCCGCGACCGCTCAACACTGAGAGCGTGTCATCCGGGTCATCTTTCGGTTGCCCCGGCACTTGGTCTTCTTGACCCCTTGCTGCCGAGCTCTCAACCGCTTGCTGCTCGCGGGGAGTCTCCCAGGCGCTGAGCCGCCGAGTCAGTTGCAGACTCAAGGCGCTCGTTGGCCGCCGAATTAGTCACCACCGCCTGTTCTCGGCGTGACTGCTCCAGGCGCCGCATGCTCCGTGTGGCTCTCCCGCCACTGATTTCCGCAACCTCCCCTTCCGGCAAGCCCCACCTGTTGGCGAGAGAATGGAGGGAAAATGGGTTGCGGGATTGGGCCTGCTGGATTTCTTGGTCCAGCGTGGCCCGGACGGCCGCTATTTCTTCTTCGAGCGTACGGCGACGCGATGTTGAAGAGTTGGTCCGTCCATGAACGTTCTTGCTGTATGTCGACATGTCTAGAAAAAAGTATTAGCAAAATTAGAGTATTTTTGACGCACCCGGGTGATCAGTCCGTGTGTGTCGTGTTCGAGAGAAAAAAAATGTACGCAAAAAAATGTGACGTCGCCGTGAATCTAGAGCGTTAGCCAACAATAGATTAACAGAGACACACTTGTAGGTTGATTGTTGAGTTGTTGTAGCTTGAAGTCACTCGAGAGTGCGTAGTGAAGGTCTCGATATTGAGTAAAGCTAACTAACAGAAGTAACTACTGAGTATTTATACTACTATAACAAAGGCACAACTATCTATGGAAATGTGAAAGGAACTACTACAATGAGTATAAGGTATCTAAGGAACTAGCAGAAAGGGAGAGAGAAAGGGAGTGAGCAAGGGGTTGCGAGCGATGAATGTAAGTAATAAGGTTCGGGCCGGCCGGGCCGGCCCGGGCTTGACATCGGAGCCTTATATCCGTTACACGGGGGAGGGTATGTCTTTCGTTTCAGGCTCGTTGTAGGGCAAAGGAATTGATTCGTCATACAAACAAGCGAAACGATTTACGGACGCGAACGAGGGCACACCAGTCACTCGTCGCGGGGGACAAAATCCTCTCCGGCCATCGACTCCGCGGCTGTTTCCGGCAGCACAGCTGTGTCCGAGTAGCGGGCGATCAACTCCGCTAACATCTCGTCACCGAGTTGTTGGATCACCTCGTCGAGGATGTCCATTGAGCGGACATCCAGGGGAGGGGGCAATCTCGGGCGAGATGGTTTGGGTCGCCGCACCTGAAGCAGGCGCGACGAGGGGCACCCCAAGCCCTAGTGCGATCCAACTCCATGGGGACGGGAGCTGGAGGCGCCGGAGCGGGGGCGCGGGCCACGGGTGGCACGACCGGAGCCACCGGGCGGAAAGGGGCCGGAGCCGGGATGCGGTTGACCGGAAACGGAGTCCGAATCAAACCGCCAGGCGTCTTGGGGGCGGCTGACTTGATCAGCTTGGCCCGGACCAGGGCCTCGTATTGACGGAAGGCCCGGGTGCGCCAGCTAAGGTAGTCCCGGAGGTCCGGGGGTCGTTCGAGGACGTGATTCCGTTGTTGATCAGGGGGTCAAGTCCGTGGCGGAACTTGGTCACCTTGACCAACGCGTCTTCGAATCCGGCGAGGTCCATCAGGTCCTCGAAGTCGTCGGTGTACTGGTAGACATCCTTTGTGCCCATGTGATAGGCGGAAGTCTCCAGTTTGGAGAGAGCATGATCTTGCTCATTCTCCTCGACGAACCGGAGTCGGAACTCAGAAACGAATGAGCCCCAGGACGGAAACGGAAACGGGGCTTTGCTTCCGTGGCGCTCCGCCCATTGCTGAGCGGGTCCTTCTGCCATAAACGACATGGCATAGCGGACGGCCTTTTTCCTTGCTCGCCTCTCCGTTGACCACGAAGGCCTCAGGGGCAAGGCGGGCGTAGGTGCGGACCGCATAGAGAAAACGCGGCCGCGTTTCCGATCGCCGTTGAAGGTGAACGGAGGGTTTGGTCGCAGGACCAATTTTGAGGCGAGGTTGATGTCGCCAAAGAGGGCCTCGGAATCGCCCTGAACCGGAGTCGGAGTCGGAATCGACGTCTCCGGGGTGGTGTTGTTTGGGGTCCGCCAGCAGTATTAGCGGCGGCAGCGGCAGCGGAAGCCTGGGTGGTGAGAAGAGTAAGGGCCTCAGTTAGGCGGTCGATTTTCGCCTCGAGTGCATCCAGCCGAGTGTCAGCGTCAGGAGTAGCTCCGGAAGGCATGACAGGTGCGGGGATGACAGGAGTGACAGAGGAGGAGGGGACAAGTGGTAGGGGGGGTGACGAGGGCGGAACGGACTCGTATTCGAGCCTGAGTCAGCGCCGAACCTAGCAATCTTGTCCGGTTGATCCCGTAGAGAGTTTCTTCTGCTGTAAGGGCAACCCCGGAGGCCTGAGATCAAGGTCCTAGCAGGGGAGGATCCAAAGAGTGAATAGAAGTAAGCAAATACAAGTGAGGCTGACCTAGCAGGGGAGGATCCAAAGAGAAGAAACTCTAAGGGTCCGCCTGCTAGGTAGCGGAACTATATACTGCGCTCTTGACGCGCCAAGGTTGATCGTTGCTCCGTGCAGTATGCCTGCGCCATGTCGCAGGCCAGGTCCCAGGGGGATCGCCAGGCGGGGCGGCGATGCGCCTGACGGAGGCGGTGATGCGATCAACGGAGTCGGAGCCGGAGTCGGACCGGAATCGGAATCGTCTCCGAGGGGCCGAAAGGGAGGTTCCCCTGACAGCGCTGTTGGACATAGAAGGCTTGAGCGGCATCGCAGGCAAGGTCCCAGGGCGACCGTTGGGAGGGCGTTGACGGATTGGTGATTGTGCAAGCAAGATGGAGGGCCAGACCGGAGTCAGAACCGGAATCGGACACATCTCTGAGGGGCCGAAAGGGGGCTAGAATAGGGTGCTACTGGCTACTTTATATACAAATTCTGCAATCCTGTAGCACAGATTAGTATGGTGTTTGGGTCTAAAATAGTCAGGTGAGTGGTGGTTCAGGCTATTATTCCTAAAAGCTGTAAATCCAGTGTCCATTATATTAACATTGTAGTGTCAAGACAGCACATGCTTTCAAACTAATTTTTAGTTTGGACTTGTGAGGTAGTGCACAATGAGACTATGCAAGTTAGGAGAGCTGTGCCTGTTTCAAGGGGGTATCAGAAAAAAATTACAGACCATATGTTGGATTTCTTGTTTAAGCCCTTTCAGAGGACCGACCAACCGTGACTGTGATGTGACATTGCTATATTGGGAAGGTATCTCACACAGTCAGGTGATCTGAACCCAGTTCTAAGAACTTTAATAGAAGTAAGAATGTTGCCTATATATATATATCTTGTATATTAGGTCCTGATATAGTCATTGCCTTATGAATCTCACTCAAGAGCAAGGTTATTCTTCTACATATAGCCTAATTTGATGCAATCACCTATCCAATCATGAGAAACTTCTTGTAAGATTGTTAATATTCAATTCTTGATGTATGGTACACCAAACAGTACTTGAAACCCAGCACAAGGCAAACAGAATATCTAACTGTCTGCGCTTGATTTCCTCATCGGGTAATAGGAACCTCATGCCTACCGCTTAGGGTTGAGACATCTTGTGTAAAATAAGTATCTTATACTTATATCTCTCAAGAGCATCGTCCGGTCCACAGCATAGTGCATGGGCTGTGGCTGCATCATGACGATCCTGTGCGATCGACAGCGTATTTAATCTCGGGGCTTCGGCGGTGTTTTCACCGTCCCGTGACACAGCCCGCATCGCCCGCATCACGATCAGTCACACCACGTCCTTCGTGGCTTCTTTTTCACACCGCCACGCCACGACTCTTTGCTTCTTCCCTCCTCCGTCTGCCTGGTTACCCCCACGACGCGGGACGAGAACAAGAACAACGCACTTCCAGCGGACATAGAGAGACCGCGCGACGGGTACAAGGAAGAATAACGGCTTGACAGCAGCGGTCGTGAGGGAAAACGAGGGACAAGGACGGACAAGGACGATATTGTTTTTCGGTGCGCGCTTATATCAACGGCCGTCCCGCTCTGCTGCCACCCACTTACTGCTTAGAAGTACTGTCCTCGTCCAGCACCACCACCACAACTACACGACTTCCCACACGCCTAAACTTGCACTCTTTACTGTCCTTTCCCTGCGACTAGATGGCACACTGGGCTACTGGCGCGGGGGGCTATATCCCGCCCCCGCCGGGCGCGGTGTCGGGCGGACAACCCGACCCAGCGATTCACGCAGCATTTCCAGGAGCTGGAGGCGGGGGCGGGGCCGGTACTGCGTGGGGTACAGGCGGGTGGCCGCCAGCGACTGGAGGAGGAAGTGGGCACGGGTGAGTGGTAGTCGTTGGTTTAACCAGTGATGTTGACTTATGGCCGCTGGCGAATAGGACACCCTGGCCCACACAAGCCCCACCGCTATATGGCCCGTCCGCTTCGGGCTCGAGCTGGGCAAATACGCCCGCCCCCGCCCCAGCGTCTTACCCCGCGTGGGCGACTCCATATTCTGGCCAGCCCCCACCAAGCAGCGCACCCGCTTGGGCAAACACACCCGCTCAAGCCCCAGTCAGGCAGGGGTGGGGGCCAGCAGCAGGGCCAGCGCCCGCAGCGGGTGGGAACACATGGGAAAACGATCCCTGGGCTGTCCCGACAGCGCCCCCGCCGATGACTGCGCCAGCTGCATCGCACGGGTTCAGTGCGACGGCTGCACCGCCACCCGGGCCACCGGGACCGGTATATCCTGGAATGGGCATGGGCGGGGCGCCGGTGACGCCAGGCTGGGGCGGACAGCCGCTCTACCAGCAGCAGCATCCAGCGTATGCGAATCCACCACGTGATCCGTACGCGCATTATGCTGCAGCACAGTCTCACCACCCCCGGGAGCAGTATGAGGAGGAAGAGCGTGACCCCGAGGACGAGTATTATGACTACGATGCAGAGGAGCGTGAACGGCAAGAAGCAAGGGCGGCTGCAGCGGCACATGCAGCGGGGTGGGCTAGGGGGGGACATACACCGGGCCCACCGCCGGGGCATGATCCGTGGGCTGCTGCTTTAGGGGCAGCCGGGCCGAGCACGCCGGCGGGTGGGGCCGCATGGGCTACACCGGGCTGGGGAGGCGAGGAGATGAGACGGACACACAGTGCTGGGCACTCTACTGGCCCCGGCCACCGACCAAGAGCCCATTCATTCGGCGGAACTTCCCATTCCCCGCACCCTCATCCGGCAGCCTGGGCGGCTTATGCACACTCGGCTGCTGCGGCCGCTGCGGGACAGTTTTCAGAGGAACACCTCGCGAAGCGGCCCTCGACGTGGCGGGCCGACTTCCCCGGGATTGGTGACGCGAGTATGAATGCCACCGCCACACCCTCATCGTTCTCGCTGTTCCGCCGAAAATCCCTGTCTTCCGCCGGCGCAGACGAGTGGCACGACCCGCGGAAGCGCGTGCCGTGTGATCTGCTAAAATACTCCACAACCACCCGCCAGGGGAAGCTGGCCTACGACATGCGCGTGTCTCCGGAGCAGACACCGCCCGGTGCGATGGGGTTCTTCCCGGCCCACCCCGGCGATATGATCCAGCCCGCGGTGCTCCCGCCAGCGCCGAAGATGCGCCTCGTGTTGGCTCGGTCGCCGTGGTATGTGGATGTGAGGCCGTCCAACGGGCAGTGGGTCGCGCTGTTTGATGTGCTCGCCGCGCTACACGGCCAGCTGGCGAGCCCGATTGCGAACACGGACTATTTTAACAAGGCGTTGACGAGGTCGGAGCGGTTGAGGATTACAGAAGCGTTCAGGGAACGGTGTGAACGCGCGGGCGCAGTGGCGAGGGCTACGGTTGGTGCGTGTTTATGTTTTTCCTTCCCTTCTCTTGTTGAGAACCGTGAACGTAGGGGCGGCAGACCCCGAACACGACTTTGCGGGTGCGGAGATTGCGCGCGGTGTCAAGCGCGTGGATTACCTCCTGGGCGAGTGCTTCTTCGTCGGGCTGGTAAGACGGGGCGGCGTCTGGGAGGCGAAGTGTCTGCGCGAAATCGCGCGATGAACTGCCAGTTGGTAAAGCGAGTGAATATTGTATATAGACTAAACTGGATGTATTTTAGACTGGACTGGACTGCATATCCAATGCAGCACGATCGCGTTGCACTTCTCAAAGCGGCACATTACTGGCGCCAGCATGCGCGCTAGTTTACTGTCCAGACTCCACACACCGTAAAACCGTATCTTTCAGTATAACTGAAAATGATGCTTTTTGTTGTACTTTCAGGCAGCACTGGAATTAGCACTGAAAACAATACTATTAGTTTATCTGACATCTGTACCAAAAATAGTGCTTTCAGCAACAGTTTTAGCAGCTTCTGAAAACACAAGTATATGCTTGACGTGATGCTAAAAGCACTCCTTTCCGCTGAGTTTATATCTCATCTGAAATTTGTCCTATTGGGGACACTGATTTCTATGCCAAAATGAATGATTTCAGCAAGGGGGGTTCAAGATCCTTATCAGGCACATTGGGTGGGGGGGGGGGGGTCCCCAGGAGTAGCACAAAAAACTTTTTGTATAAAGATTCTTGGAAACAAATATAGGTCCACATCCATTAAAAATACATAATACTTGCTGCATACTTATTACACTATTGCTCAAGTTATGCCCCGATATCTGAAGAAATCAAGGTTCTTGGGCTTGGATAGGTGCAGAGTGACATTGTCACATTGTTGTCATCCAGTTATTGATAGCAGGTGACCATTCTTAGCTCAGTCATGGCTTATCACTAGTATTGAAGAGCTAAAAGTGAGTCTATAAACAGATATATATATGTATTCAAGCAAAGTTTGTCCAAAATGTCAGTTTCTGCGCCGCTTTTGATCCCATCATTGGTCACATGATGCGAGATCTTATCTTATCATGGGAATATATTACCTGATATAGTAAGGGAGGGGGGAGGGGGGTCCCGGAGGGTTGGAAAAAAAGAAATCCGACCCTATACTGTAGTAATTTATTCAATTCGGCGGTCACGCGTCACACTGCCACTCCGACGCCGAAATATTTCAGCGTGTCACGCGCCACAGCCTGGATGCCGAATGTCAAACACCCATCAGACCATCAAAAAAAAAATTGGCGGCCCTCCGGGCCACTAAATAGGCCGAAATATTTTGGCAGTCACACACATTGACAGGAGGCGCTGAAAATTTAATTTCGGCGCCGATGTCACACCCTTTTGGCGCGCTGAATTGAATAAATTGCTACAGTATCCGGGATTTGAATGTTGAACCCCCCTTGGATTTCAGCACAAATTTCAGTTTCAGCTGAAAACAAGGATTTTAAAACTTGTACCAATAATTTCTAATATCAGAACCCTGTGGGGGACTTGATGTTCTGATACATGAACTTCAGTTTAATGTTCAGTTGTATACTTGAAACCTTGTTTTCAGCTTGAACTGAAATTTACACTGAAATCAGTGAGTTCAGCATCAGAATCAGCATCACCAAAAGGACTAATTTCAGAAGACACAAAAGTTGAGCTGAAAATAGTGCATTCAGCATTACTTCCACTATATAGTACTCAAAGCTGTGTTTTAAGTAGCCAGTAAAACTGTTGCTGAAATCACTGCTTTCAGTGCAAATTTTAGCTCTCATGCGGCCAACATGCTCCACAGTCCGCTCCAGCTCATGAACAACTCCGCGGACATGTGTCTACCACTGCGGACCTCCCTCACCATCATACTCTCCATCTGTGACATTGCAAATATGTGTATCCCACTCTGCCACCGGGAAGTTGTCTCCTGCTAATCTGCCCGTCATTCTCTCTTTCTCTTGACTTACATTTGTAGAAGATTCTAGAATATTCACTGTAGTATATATACTCTGTACATTCTCTGCAATAGACATTGAATCTACTATTTATTCTCCCAACAGGTTATGGGCCCCGACCCGCGCCTAAACTAAACATCACTCCACTCTACTGCTCTACTCGCTCTCATCTTCTATCACACTCACACAATGTTGAACAGCAACTCCACACACCACATCAAACAACTTGATGGTGCCCAAAGCTACCCCACATGGGCCATCAAAGTTATCAACATACTTACCGACCAGGACATGGATGACTATATAATTGGCTCCAAGAAAACAGCGCTGACAGTCGCCGACGCGAGCAAGACTGCAGCCTTAGAGACTTGGAACAAGAAACAGCGGAAAGCACTCTTTGCGATCCGACTCTGTGTTGGCAACGGCCCGATGGCATACATCCAGAACCTCAAGACAGCCTCTGAGGTCTGGGATAAGCTCAAAGCTATGTACCAGCCACAAGGTGCCATCACCATCATCAGACTCCGCTGACAACTCTTCCGCGCTGCTTATGCAGAGGGGAGGAAGTCGAAGAGCATATCCGAAAGCTCATGCAGATCCAGAGTACGTTGGAAGGCCTTAACAGCACTGTCGAAGATCACAAATTGGCGGTCCCACTGCTGACATCACTTCCTGATACAAATGTTAGCAAAGGTGCCTACGAACTTGGCCTCCCCCATGTTACTCCAAGCTCCACTCTTCTTCCCCATTATTAAGCTTGAGCCAGCTCAGGATGACCCCTTCAATAGATAACCTGGTTATGACAAACCACCCTCCCAAACTAGAGGATAGAGTCTCTAAATGGGAAGTCAAGGAAATGTTGGATGCCAGGTCAAGGTACAAGTAAGTTAACTGCTGTAGTATTTAACTCAATCAGAATGCCATTTTTAGTGTGAAATTCAATACAACAATTTCAACTCTGTGATTTTCTTAATTAGGCAACTTTTGGCATCAAAGGTGCTGGAAAATATCAAAAATTACCTTTTGGGATATCTTTTTACTTAAATCTATGTGACATGCAAAAGAAATTCTTATGAAATTGGCAGTGTCATGTGTGACATGCAAACTGAGTAAAATACTATAGTATTTCATCTGGTGGAAAGACTACGACACTCTGCACGACTTGTAGGTTTGGGTCAACCATGTCTGCAACTTTTGCCTCAATGCCCTTCTGGATTATGTGTCAGGATGCCGCATTTAAAGGGGGGTGATGTCAGGGGAACCACTTTAGCCTCCCTCAGATGACAGATGCTCCAACCAATCTCACCACCTCTTCGCCTAGGCTACACAATAATGAATCTGTCAAGACCCTCCCAAGGCCTGCAACACTGCTCAGGCCTTATGTGCTCTACAATGGCAGTTACAGATGACGATTATATAATTAGCATCCCAGCAGGTGGACCCTTAGAGTTTCTGTTGAAACAGGTGGGCAGGGGAGGAACGAGGCAAATATGTGGTATGTAGGGTCAAAAGAAGGACTAGAGAAACTACAGGTCCATGAAGCCTATATATGGTCATTGATAGGTATGGGCACAATAACAATCAGTAGTAAGAGGCAGTATACTGTCATATATTTTGATCCAGTGTCTGTGTTGTGCATTGCATTGACCAAAAAGTCCTTGTCAAAAATTGCCACATATCAAAAGGAAAATTTTTGGTCCCAAATTTGAGAAAAGTGGTAGACACTTGATTGATATAAGACAGCAAGACAGGCAATCACTCACCAGTGCACATGACTCTATGGCAGAAACACAGAATTCTACCAAAAAAAACCTTTGATTTTAATTGATGAACAAATTGTTTTCTTAGTATGAAAACCTGAAAGAAAACAAAAGCCCCTTCCCAAAGCAGCAATTTTGCTTTTTGGAAAGTGCACAGAATGTTGTGTTTTCTTAATGATTTTTGTTGTGTAAAACAATTTGTTTTTGGCAAAAGAAATTGTAGCCAAAAGTAGTACTGTTTTAACTAACTTTTGCAGCCTGAATTTACATTGCCAGTGAACCGGTGCATTGTCATGCTCGTAGCGCTGAGGTGGCTTGATGTCGTGCTCCTCTGGATGGCGCACAACGAGCGGTGCGGCGCGCCGGGAATGATGATCGTCTGTTGCCGTGGCAATTGCGACGGCCGATGACCATGGCAACCGTCCGCGGATCACTTCACACACGATATATATCGTGGCCATCCTTGACCTCCCCCGTCATGGCGTCCACCCTCCCGCCCGAGCTCGTCGCGCACATCGCCCGGCACAGCCCGCCCGGGGAGACCACGGCACTCAAGACCTGGGCCCTCGTCGGCTCGGCGTTCCGCGGGCCGGCCCAGCGCCGTCTATGGCGCGCGCTCGAGCTGACAAACACCGTGAACCCCTGGCGTCCTAGCGCGCTCTCGTATACACGCGCGGCCCGGCACTTTGCGGAATATCCGCACCTGCCGGGGTATGTGGCACAGCTGACGCTGTCGATTGCACCGGAGTGGGACGAGGACGATCCAGTGGAGGACGAGGAGGGGCTGGCGCTGCTTCGGGGGATCTTGGCGCGCATGCAAGCGGTAGAAGAGGTGGAGGTGTGTGTGATGCGGAATCGCGAGGCGCTGGAATGGGAGGAGCTGCCGGGGATATTCACGGAGTGCGTCATGGAGTACGTCCACACCCGGGTCGGGCTGCGGAAGATGACGGTGCATGGCTTCACGGCTGTCCCGGCGGCCGTGTTCGGCCGTTTCATGAGCGCTGCGCCGACGGTCAGCGTGTACGACCTCGAGGTCGCCGGCGCAAACGGTCCGCTGCGCTCCGCCGGGCCGACGCGGTTGCGAACGAGCATCTACGATCTCGCAAAGCCACAGTTGGCCCAGTCGCTCCGCCCCTACACGCGCTCGCTGCGTGCTCTCATCCTGACCACCGCCAACTGCCACGGCCGACACGAGCTGACGATCCCGGACATTTGCGCCGCCACAAGCGACACGCTGGAGCATCTCTCTCTCGAGCTGTTCGGTGTGTCCCTTGGCCCCATCAGTTAGCACTCATTGATAAGTTTCGCCAGAAACGAACAGCTACCTCATCGACACCGGCGATCTCCGCCTCCCACCCCTCCCGCGCCTCCGGTACCTCCACATTTGCTTCGAACACGAAGACTACGCCGGTCGCCGCCCACGCGGCAATCCCCGCCCGCCGGACACAGCCCTCCCCGCCATCCTCGCACACGCCCTCGCCCTCGGCCCGCGCGTACCGCTACCAGCCCTTGCGCAGCTCGACCTGCAGAACCAAATCGTCGGCTTCGGACTCGACGACGACGGATACACGTACCCGCTCGCGCTGGCCCCCCTCGACGCCGTCCTCGCGCGCTACCTTCGTGCACGTGGGAATGCAGCCGTGGTGCGCCACGTGATCCAGCTCACACATGTCCGCAAGGAGGGGCACTTCCGCATGCTCGCAGACACGGTGGAGGCGGCGTTGCCCGAAGCGTGTGCCGCGGGGATGCAGATCGTGGACAGTCGGTCAGAGTGGCAGATTGATATGGGGGACTTTTGAGGACGGGATACACAGAGATTGTTTGTTCTCAAATTCGAAGTATATATAAAAGGACTACGGTTAAGCGCGCGGGGGTGCGTGTTCTGTGTGAGTCCACCCAGCGCTCGCAGTCACTGGCACCCGTTCCTCCCATCCTTACGAGTTCAGAGTCACGATCGCACAGCCTGCCCGAAATCACAAGGGGGGTTCAAGTCTCGAATCATGGATATAGGGTCAGAAAGTTGTTTTCTGACCCCTGGGTCCCCCTCTCCCCTCCTGCCATATCAGGTAATATGTTCCCACGATTCGCGTCATGTGATCACTGATGCGATCAAAAGGTGGGATAAACAATTCAATCTTTGTGAAACTTTTTTTTTGCAAATTTGGACACGCGTCGCCCATCCACACACAACTTGCCATGGGATTGCTGACTCCCCTTGACTCTCAGACAATAGTGGATATCGTGTTTGTGGGGGTGGGTGACAGAGGCTGTGCACAGGGTATATAAACCAGTCGGTGAGACGTGTGTCCTGCAGCAACTTGACGTAAAACATGTTCCCCGACTTCCCTGTCCAGGCTGCCGGTGTCCAGGCTGCCAGCTCTCCTGAAGGTTTCTGGCACCCGACAGATTACCAGCAACATGACTCTTTGTACAGCGTCCTGGAATCATTACGGTCGGAAGATAGACTCGGAAGCAAGACTGATCACAATGATCAGGTGGTGGCAACGTTTGAAAATTCGGATTTCCACCAATTTACTGTCCAGGGTGGCTCTGAGGATAGCATCATACAATGCTTCCTGGAATCATCAGGGGATTGGGAAGCTAGACGCAAGAAAGTGGTGGCAGAGTTTCAAAATCCGTGTAAGGGCAACCCTGGAGACTTCGACGAAAGCCTAGCAGGGGAGGATCCAAAGCGTGAATAAAAGCTACGGAAATACACGGAGGGACCGACCTGGCAGGGGAGGATCCAAAGAGACAAAACTCTAAGGGTCTGCCTGCTAGGGCGCCAACTACATACTGGTCATCCGTAACTGCCGACATAGAGAAGGCCTGAGCGGCATTGCAGGCTCTGTCCCAAGGTGACCGTAGGGAGGGTCTTGACGGATCGGTGATTGTGCGGGCGAAGGAGGCCGTGGACGATGGTCGGGGTGGGTCGGAGCGTCCGAGGGGGCGCCGGTCGGATGCGCCTCGGATGTGTTCGGAGGGTCCGAAGGAGGCCGAAGCGGGAGTTCCCCTGACATCACCCCCCCCCCCTTAATGGGCCAGATTGTTGTTCGGCGTCACGAAAAGCGACATGACAGCCTCCGGCCTTGACTGCCAATAATCGGTAGCGCTGCTATTCTAGTAAGTTCTGCTAGATTAGTCAATAGAATGTGGTAGAAAATGGGAGAAGCCGGAGGGGCTGGGCTGAGTAAGCGCCAGCCAGTGACATCATTCTCAACACTTATGAATAGCTAAAATACTAATACCCTGATATGGACTGTCAGGGGAACCCCTGCTTTGGCCTCCTTCGGACCATCTGAGCACATCCAAGGCGCATCCGACCAACGCCCCCTCGGACGCTCCAACCTACCCCAACCCTCGTCCTCAGCCTCCTTCGCCCACACAATCACCGATCCGTCAAGACCCTCCCAACGATCACCTTGGGACAGAGCCTGCAACACCGCTCAGGCCCTCTGCGCTCTATGTCGGCAGTTACGGACGACCAGTATGTAGTTGGCGCCCTAGCAGGCGGACCCTTAGAGTTTCTTCTCTTTGGATCCTCCTCTGCCAGGTCGGTCCCTCCGTGTATTTCCTGTAGCTTTTATTCACGCTTTGGATCCTCCCCTGCTAGGCTTTTGTGGGAGTCTCCAGGGTTGCCCTTACATGGACCTCCATTTCTGCCCTACTAGTATGAGATCTACTTTTCATAGCTTTTATTAACTATGAAATAAAGTTGCTAAGCTGGCCCCATTTATCTACTATTATTTGTCCCAAATAAATTGTGCCTGGGATCCACTTTTTGGCAGAAACCCAGATGTAATAAGAAGAACCTATGATAACCATTTTAGGACCTGGCCCCATCTAGAATGGTTTCTCTATTCCCAAATTTTATCTTGGGAATCAAGCTAAGTAAGTATACTGTACTATTTCAATCAATTAGTCCTGTCACGGTCACATTGACTTTTTTGGCCGAAAATTTTCTGCCTGTCACAGGTCACAGCAAGTTTCTTTGGCCCTAAACCGTCCCAAAATGGTAATTTTTAAAAGTTTCCGCGCCTACGGCGCGCAGAACTTCCATATAAGGCAGGAGGTCACACCAAATTCACCCCTTGGCTGAATTGCACATTTCTGCCACATGTGTCACAGGTCACAGGCCCGCAGAATTGAATGAAATAGTACAGTAACCTATGTTGGGGATATTTCCAGCCTATGGCTATGATCCCCCCATAGAGCCTAAAGCCATGTCTTTATGTGCTATCACCCATCTTATCTCTTACATTATCAACCAGGGCCAAAATCAATAGTGGAAGTCTTCTTTTAACAGGTGATGTCATCATTGAATATGAACTTGCTAAAATATAATTTATATAATAATTATGATCATAGTTCTTCATTGACCATGCAGAAGGCACAGTGTCATTAGTGTGGATAGATTGGTTGTATTAAAAATTATATCCCCCGGTAAACTCCCATCTGCGCCGCCATGCGCTCAACCTGACCGGGTGTGAAATTGTTTTTGCAATCATCGGTGCTGTAGTCCATGAAGTTGTGGATTGAGTCGTCGCCGGGAAAGCCGGGGCATGTCTTGCTGCGCTCGGGGCAGCCGTAGGTCGGGTAACCCTGCGCCGGCGTATCGTCCACTGAAAGTGAGGGTTTAGCATTCCGAAAAACGGGGCGAACATTCACGCACCCAGGTCAGATGAGCCGTCACATGTGCCTCGACCTCCCTCGCTAAAGACGTGGTATAGTCCCATCCAGTGTCCAACCTTGAGGACAATGAGCGAAAGTAATGGCAATGAAATTGAAAGATTGGGTAACCTCGTGAATCAGGTTCGCACCAAGGTTGTAGGGCTCATTGGTACCTCCGGGCAGATTGCTGTACTTGAACACAATACCATCGTCTTCGGGAGCGTCGTTGTAGTGGAAAGGGAATGTGCCGTAGCCGAGCAGGTCGAAAAAAGCTGCACTTCCCTGGATGAACCCAACGGAGTACAGGTTGAGCGTCTTTGCGTCACCTCGGCGCAGGGCAGCTTTCATCGCGGTCTGGCTGTCAATGCCATCATCGTAGTTGGAGGCAGTTTCGAACCAGTGTTTGTTGGTCGTGCGGGTCGTCTCGACGAGCTGAAAAGAATAGGATGTGTTGACGAAGGCAGCGTTAAGTACAGCCATTTGTGTAGCAATCTGCGAGTCCCTATGAAAGGGTATTAGAACACTCCACCGCAGATGGGATACCAATGTGACGCACGGTACATTGCCACCAGAAAGCTCCGTCGAGCTGCGCACAACGTGGAAGTAGGTCGGGATGAATTTGGTCGCAGCCGCATGCTTCAAATTCTTTACAGCAAGCCCCGTCCGCCGGGCGGCGAAGTCAGCCTCAAAGGCATCCTTGTGCGCGGGGGAGATCCCGGTGCCGCAACCATAGCTGGAGGGACACAGTAGTTTCAGTAATGATCGTCAAAAGGAACTCGATGCCCCACGTACCTGGGGCTGCGAGACGTGAGCTGGCTGCCAAGAGTCGACAGGATACTGAGTGCGACGACGAGTACGCTGAGGGCAATCATGGTCGAGCAAGGGAGACTGGTGAGTCGCCGAGTCCCCAATATTCCCGCTTTATACGTTGACGAGGTAACAAAACGACCGGAGACACCCGCCAAGTGCAGACGGCAAGATGACATTGGAAAGAGCCGCTGCGGAACAACTTGAAGCACCGGCTGCGGAACAAGTGTCGCCAGTGAGACGATACCGGATCTTCACGATTGCCTGCCTAATCCCGACTGACAATTCCTCCAGGGACGCGTCAATAAAGGGCGGCACATTCGAGATTGGGGGGGTCTGAAAGGCAGCCGCTTGAGAGTGTGGGCATGGTTAGCATTACAGCGACACGGATGACCGGAGCCTGGGAGGTTGCTGAAAGGGGTGATGATGCCCTCGTGGTGGATGATTGACGATTCGTGACACCGGCTGCTCCTTCACTGCCTCGAGGCGCAGCCGATGTCGTTCGTGGTACCAGCCACACACCGCCTGGAGGAAAATACATACGATATGGTACACAAATGTTTTGCTAGTGTTGCAGCGACATCTGTTTCCTTGTCTCCGCCTATCCAAAACACTTGTTAATACAGCACTGGGAACAGATAGAGGAGGGCGGTGAAGTCCCCGAGGCAGCGTAGTCAACGTGAGACGTGGACGGCATGAGGGGACTATTGCCGGGCTGCAGCCTGAGGAGCTGGCTTAGAGGTCGAGGAGATGCTCAGGCACGTGGGAGCTGGTGCCTGGCTTATGTCGCTTTGCCACAAAGAAGAAACATAAAGAACACTCACCGGGGTTGACGACTCGACGAGTCCCGCTAGATTCGGCGGTATCCAGGTGCACTGCTCCGCCAGCAGCCGTTGTTCCTGCTTTTTCTCGGCCTCTAAGGTGCGCGGTCCGACATCGCTTTCCGATTCACAGTGTCGAGGGCGGTGCGTGCGATGTCTAGGGCTCCTGCAGCGCCGCCGCAGCTTGGAGGGGCGCCATTTCATCGGCCTCCATATCGAACGAGTGGTGCGTTAGTCGCGCACGCGGTATTCCAGTAGCTGCAGGCGCGTAGATGCGACGGGGCGGGGCGGGCAACGCAGTCACGGCGGTGGGAGGAGAAGCAAAGGCAGCTCGGCTGCGTAGTCATGACATTGATCAATTGATCTCACATGACGTCTGTGATGTGATGAAGTACGGCAGTTCACATGCAATCAATTTCCAACCAAAAAGGAGGAAAAAATTATAGGAACACTGGCATACATAAACATTTTAAAAAAAGTTAAGCCCTCCGACCGACCGTAACATGGGTGACAATTGCAATTTTTGGCAGTCCCGGAGCCATCGGCCCATATCAATGGGTATAGCAATAGATAGTATGTATCAAGAAAATCACCATGACCTGCAACCCAATCAGTCAACTCGACTATTTTTGTGTAAAATGACTACCATCCATCTTGCATTGAGGCTAAACAACTTGAACAGAACATGAAAAAACTTGGAATTAGGCAGCACTATCTACGAGCACAACGCAACGACATATGATCATGTGCTAGCTAGCCCCCACACCACCCGCGGGGCCTCACGACTTGGCCGCGTTCGCCGTGAACTGCGCGAACGTCTGTGTCGCGTTCGGGTTGATCGCGAACGTCATCCCTGCACCTAAAGGTGGCCGCGCGTCAGGGAGAGAGAAACGGAATGGCAGCGGGCGACTCACGGCAGTGCGCGCCCGCCGCCTGCTGGCACGACGCGAAGTGCGGCACGGTGTCCTTGACGGTGTACACGAAGGTCGGCTGCGAGCCGTCCAGGTCAGACAGGCTGGCATGCGTCAGCATGTAGATCTTTTGAATATGTGGGATGCTTACAACCCGGAGTCGAACGCGTTCGGCCCGACGCCGCCCGTGGGCGGGGGGCAGATCGCGCCAGAGAACGGGGCGGAGGTGATCGTATCTGCGGGTATGACATCAGTGCTATTCTCCAGGGACTGGGGGGACTCACGGTTGCGAGAGAGCCTGCAATGCACAGTTGTCAGCCATTGTACGAAGAGAACGCTTACGCAGCCGAAGGGACGCACACAGTAAACGTGATCGTGTCGCCGACCGCGGCGGTGACGACAGTCGGGGTGAACGTGAGCCCGTTGTTGGCGCCGACCGCAACCGCGTGGTCAACTGCAATCACAGCGGCGGGAGCGAGGAAGAGGAGGAGTGCTTTTGCGAACATGGAAGTCCTTGAAGTGGGAGTCTGCCAATGTGGAGTGGGAGGCTTTATAGCGCGAGGCATTGGCCGCGGCGTGTTTTCTCGCAGCCTGCACGCGTTAACGTTCCCGCCAGGCACGACCACGGCGAATGACCAGCTCAATATTGGCAAAATCCGGTAATTTCGGCGGGAGGAGGGCGAATAAGGCTCGTCTGGACTGCAGTGTGAGAAGCTGTACGCGGTAGGAGAGCAGCAAATGAGATATCTGGGGTTGTCGTTATGGGCTTGGCGCCGATGGCGAGATGCTCCAACGACGTCGCTGCTGCCTTGGTCGCGCCATTGAAGATGGCCCAGCCATGGGGAGCCTGAGCGAAACAGCAATGTTTCGGGGATATATCGTTGCTAGGTACGTGCGGCAAGGAGGGCGACTTCACGACGGCACGCTCAGGTGTTCGCCATTGTCGACGTTTCTAGTCGCTAGCAAATGAGAGCCGATCGTTTTTCGTCGTGGGTCCAAAATAATGTCGTAGTACGACACGTGTGAATCAGGGTTAAGCTCCGTTGCAGGCCTGGGCCGTTGACAGTGGGGTGCAGGAGACGAGGAGTCGAGTGAAAGTTGCGTGCGCCGGATCGAGCGATGGGCGGTACGGTAGGGTGCGGGGGATCGTCGGACTCAGGCCCGGGATGAGACTTACAGGTGCGCAAGGTCTGGCGAAACAAAGCCTTCGCCGATGGTCAGCGGCTTTCACACGCGGAAAAGGCTCACCAGCGACCAATCTGTCATCTGCGCATAGTCAGCCCAGGAGAGGTAGTGCTGGGAGTGAACGGGTGAAGCGGGGGCCGGCAAGGCGTGCGTCGTGGGCGTGGGGAGGAAGGAAGGAAAGCCACGTCATCAAATCAGTGATCCATCAATACATGACGTTTCCCGACTTGTCCCGGACCATCATGTGGGAGCCTGCGAGCCGGGTTTTCTTTCCTCCGCGATGAGCTCTGGCCCTGGTATCGTCTTCTACGACATCCCGTCGCAGCACGCGCGCGTCACCTGGTCGCCCAACCCCGCGAAGACGAGGTGCGTTCCCATTAAGTAGAGCAAGATCCGCGCTGATCGCCCGCAGATATGCGCTCGACTTCAAGGGACTGGCGTACACCACCGAGTGGGTCGAGTACCCGGACATCGAGGGCGTCGTGAAGGCGCTCGGCGGGGCGCCGACGGGGAAGAAGGCAGACGGCCGGCCACACTATACGCTGCCGATGATTCGCGATTTGGGCACCGGTGCGTAATCGTGCTCGCTGTGCCCCGCCTTCTCGCTGACTCTGGGGCAGGCCAGGTCGTCACGGACTCGCTGAACATCGCGATCTACCTGGACAAGACGTACCCCGACAAGCCGCTTATGCCCGGCGGCGACTGGGCGCTCATCCCCGCCTTCGAATCTGCGATCCAGCCGCTGCTCAGCAACCAGCTCCCCTTCGGCATCCCCGCCTCGCAGGCGCTGCTCAACCCGCCCAGCGCGACCTACTTTCGGGCCACACGGGAAGTCATGTTTGCGCAGACGATGGAGGACATGTTGCCGGCCCCCGGGAGCGAGCGCGAAACCACACAGTGGGCGAAGGTCCAGGCCGCGTGGAACACCATCGACGGCTGGCTTACTACTGCGGGCACCAAATATTTCGGCGGGGCAGAAAGGAACTACGCAGACCTGTATGTCGCCGCGTATGTGTTCTGGATCCGGACGGTGTTCACTGAAGACAAGTGGCGCGACTTTGCAACGTGGCATGGGGGACGTTGGGCACTGCTGTTGGATACCGTCGAGAAGGATTAGATTAGCCCCCATTAGTGACAGAGCGTGTTATTGCTCATGTGATGAAACGGGGAGTCGCCGGAGGAATATCATGCGGCCATGCCTCGGGCCTCGGGGCCATGAGTTCTTTGTCTTCTGTTCCACCTAGCTCATCGCCTGAGTCTCACTCGGTCTTTCAAAGAAGGAGAAATGGTTCAACCTGAACACGCTCGTATCTAGCAGGTGTAATCAGTGATTCGTTGTGGATTCGAGTGATCAACAAATAGGCGGTTTAACCGTTTCTACAGCATGTTCACCACAGTTTTGACTCACTGTCAAAATATTTTGAGTTCTAGATGATCTTAGGGCCTAATGTAGTGCTGGCCAGAATTATATTATGGTTGATTAAATATTAAATATATTATATGTTTGTTAAATATGATTATGTTTGAATATATTACATTATATAATGGCTATACTATATTATGGTCAGAGAATGTTTAACTATATAGCTATTTTCCCAATCTGTGTGTGCCTACTAATATGACTCAACTTTGTCTGATTTAACCTCCATAGGGCAGATTTAGGTGGTTTTCAACCTATATAGCAACCGAATATAGGCTGGAAAATACATCTGATTTAGGTTGTTCCCCAAGGCAATAAGTGTTTTAACCTAAGAGGAGGGTGGTAAACTTTCCTAAATCAGCCGAATTCAACCTAAGGCTTACCAGCGTTATCACAGGTTATTCTTAGGTTCATTTCATATAATCAACGTTAACCATACAGTCCTGGCATACTTTGAATCAATGTTATATGTGATGAATTATACAGTGATTCCATCAAGCAATACATGATGACTACACCACCAAAGTGTCCCCAGCTGGTATCCAGCCAGACCTTCCAGCTGGTTCCTACATAATTTGACATATGGGTCTTAGTGGTTTCTATCTGATATCCAGCAGATATGCCCAGCTGGAAATTTCAGCTGGATTCCAGATGACATATTTGTCTGTATCTTAGCACTATTACCATGTAGATTTAATTAATGAATTTTTGCTTTGTAAATTCAACTTTGTTTTATTAATATGCAAACACAATAGCCAATACACACAAGGAACAGTATTTAAAGGGCAACCATACTAGTAAATCAGACAATGTCAGTAGCTAAGAACTTTAGGGCCAGTCACACCGGACTGACTTGGGTGACTTAACAATTGCGATCAGCAATCAGGCGCCCAATGTCATGTCACATGTGCTTCCCTTTGATCTGGATATGTATCTGAAAATTTTCGTCACACATCCTTCTTCTCTTCTCTCCTTCCCCTCCGCCTCCAGAGCAGCGGCGCCAGGCTCACCTGCTCTCATTTCCATACCAGCCAAGGGGTACGCGCCGGCGCAAGCCGAGACGTCAGGGGGGAGGGGAGGGGGGTGGTCTGGTGGCCTTAATTCACTTTTCTTTTGTAGGGTACAGAGTGGCTGGGAATGCTATTAATGGTCTCAGAATGCATATAGTTATCATTGAAAGCAGATTTTAGGGCTCTTCTAAGGCATGTATAAGCATTTTGATAGGAATTTCCTATTTAGGTGGTGATGACATGGCCACGTCACACCCACGTCACACGTGCCAGCTATGCCTGCAGCCAAAATTGGTTTTATAATGATATCTGCAGAGTGAATGTGGGTAGAGGGCACAAGAAGGGACACTATATATAGAGGAAATTAGTAGTACTGCATGACATTTTCACCAGTTTCTGGCACCCATCAAGGAATTGCCTTTTTGGGACATCACGTGCAATCACGTGGTGTGTCGTCACACAGGGAGGGGGGGTGTCCAGTGATCGCTAATTCACTTTTCTGACCTGATGTCGGGGGTTTCAGGTATGCATACCTCTTGATCCCAGCTGCGGGCAGGCACCCTCATCCGTGCCATTGCTGGGACACTGCCCCTCAGTGCTACGCATTGGACCGATGACGATGGTGAAGAGCATTATTGCTACTCTCATCGGTGCATCCTCTTCCGTCATGTCTTCCGGGCTTACTGACGCCCTTCCTAGCCCTCGACTTCATGTCAACCACACAGGCCATCAACAAGTGAACAAAAAGCTGCTAGTGCAAATACTCGTACGCTTTCGGCTCGTTATTTTCTGGGTAACTGGCTCGGACTGTCATTTATAGTTGTGGACCTCGGCGGAGATATTCTTTCGTCGGTGAGTGCTTCTGTGGTTAGATTTCTTTTGCTGACTTAGTATTTCCAGTGCTCATGGGAGGGGGGTGTTAGCGATGAGCTGGCAATCGTGTGTCGGATGTCCAAGCAAGGGTAGCTATGGCGCGATGTTACCACCCGGTTGTCTGGTGACCTGTTCGCTGTCGTGCTCGGGCACCGGCGTGCCGCAGATGCTGCGCCAGCAGTCGATACAGGCGCAAACCTGTCTCCTGTGAGCAAGTTTGGTGGCCTGGTCAATGGCGCTGGTGGTGGTGGGGTTTTGAGTGTAGTAGTACCTGTGTATTCCATACTCTCGCAATATATATATTTTTTGTGTAATTTTCTGTTTCGTATTTTACCTGCCTGCTCCATGCTACCAGATGAATCATATAAAAGTTACCTGGACTTCCAGCTGGGACCCAGACCTTCTGGATCCATCATGGATCCATTTGCGACCAAACATGGTTACCATTGGTCACTGATCCGGGGACCGGCCGGACATGACATGTGTCCACCGTGGATTTTTCAGCTGTGACACAGCTGGAACCCCGTTGGCGGTGTACTATAGTAGACATCAGTTTTAATAGTACTCACTTTTGAGATTACTCTGCTGAACATAGTGTAGGACCTCTGATCAAGTTTCTAATACTAAATAGGCACTAGCCAACTCAACCCTTGGAGCAATGTCCCTAATTGATTTTGAAAGTCCCTATACTGTTGCACTTTAATCAATTCGTCATGGCCTGAAGGCTATGACATGCCTGACGAACTTAGTAATTTGTCAGGCTGTCCCATGAGGTAATTTCGGCACTGGAACAGAGGAAATTTCCTTATTTGGACGTCTTTGGGGCAAAATTTCGGTGGAAGAGGGTGACTGATGAAAGAATTGGTCAAATTGAGGTGCGCATGGTTTGGATCGGGCCATTGGGCTGCCTTCCCGCGGGCCAGTCAGGCCTGACCACCTGCCCACTCTCCCCAATTCATCATTCCTCCAATCTCTTCCTTTCACCCCTATGGGAACCCTACACAATGCCCATCCGATCCTACCCTTCATAAGTCCTTGTTTATATAAAACCCATATCTACAGGATGCATTTGTTAGGCTAATATTGTCTATTCTCTGGGCTAAACACCCATTTGTTCATGCTTCCCAAACCATCCACAGTCAGGCACCCTAACAGGTTGAGACGACCTGAGCCTAACACCGACAGGCCTTAAGAATTGGCTGAAGGGCTGATGCCACTTAAGTAGTCTAAGACTTAGGCCAGTTTAAGTAAAAAGGAAATGGTTACTCCAAACATCTAGTAAGTACTCTGGTTGCTATCAGAGCTCTTTGAAGGACTCAAATATTTTCGGAAAAACTATTTGTATATGAAAGATTTGAGCCTTATATAGGTGTAAAGACACTGAAAATATAGTGTATACACTCTAATTTCTCGAGTTCACAACCCATACTTATATCTATATACTTTCATGCCTATGAGCTTGGATAGCACACCCTGTCACAGGCCCATCATCAGGCAATTGATGGTGAACATATTGAAGAGTTAATATCGTCTGCGATGTGTGTTTAAAGGTTTCAGATGCATACATGCCTACACATATCCACATACACACATATAAATTTATTTGAAAAAAAAAAAGTTCCACAAACATTGAATTTTTATGCCACTTTTTGATCACATCAGTGGTCACATGATGCTGATTATGGGAACAAATTACCCTATATGGCAGGAGGGGGAGGGGCGCAGGCTTGTAGCCCCTTGCACATAAGTATGCACATACACATAGATGAATTTTTGTGAAAAAAAAGTTTGGCAAAGTGAATTTTATAAGTTTTTTAATGGGTGATTCACATCTTGAACCCCCCTTGAGCCAGAACTTGGGTATGTGGCTATGAACTTGCTCGAGGATACTGTAGTATTTTACTCAGTTCGAATGTCACGCGTCACACTGCCGATTTTATACGAATTTTTTTCGCATGTCACGCAGATTTAAGCAAAAAGACGTCCCAAAAGGGTAATTTTTGACATTTCTGGGCGCCTCCGGCGCCAAGAGTTGCCTAATTAGGCAATAATTCGAATTGAAATTTTCGTATTGAATGTCACGCTAAAAATGGCATTCGAATTGAGTTAAATAGTACAGTATCTAATGTGAACGTAGAATTCTACGATAAATATTATGAAAAACATGTCACTCTGTGTCCTCATCTTCATCCTCCTCTTCATCGTCTTCATCCATCGTATCTTCCTCCTCGTCATCTCCCCCCTTCACTTCCGGGTCCTCCTCAACATCGCTCTCTGACGGTGTGACCTCCTCCCGCGGCGTGCCCTTCTTCCCAAGGGGCGGCACGACCACGAACAGCACCGCATCGCCGTAGATATACTCGATCGTCGCCTGATTTCCGGTCGCCATGTACCGCGACGCCGTCTCGTTGTGCTTCCTCCGGGGAGTGACCCACTGACAGTCGACCGGGTCGCCCCCGCCCTCTGCGTCGCCATCATCTTCATCCTCCATGTCCTCATCATCGTCCGAGCGCGGGGACAACCGCCCCGCGTGCCCCGCCGCGTCCTGGGCCACCAGCACCCGCCCGCGCCGCTTCATCGCGCGGCTTAGACTGTTGAACTCCGTGTCGAGCCACTCGAGCTCCATCTGGCTCCCCGCCATCACCTGCCGCGGCTTCCGCTTGCTCCAGCTGTACTCCTCCGTGTCGTACACAAGCCGCACGAAGCTCCCGAGCCCCACGCGGCTCGCGGCCGACCGCACGCGCGCGTCATTTCCCTTGAGGACGCCGCGCAGATATGCGTGAGAACCGGTGTTCAACTCGTCGCCCGCGTTGTCGATCGTGTCTGCCGCGGTCTTGTCCTTCTCCTTGGCCGTCTTCCCCGCCGCGGTGCGCGCGGGGTACTGGTGGCTGAGCCCGAACGCGAGCAGCCCGCCCGCGCGCATGAACTTGGGCTCGGCGATGAGGGCCCGAAGTGCCGTCTCGAGCGCCTGCTCCGGGGCGGGCACGATCCGGCTGCCGGGCGTGTACCCCGCTCGAGCCCGCGGCCGGACGAACAAGTTGTAGGTTAATGTGACGCGGTGCCCGGTCAGGACCGGCTCGACCGCGTGGACGACGTCGCTGTAGAACGCGACGTAGGCGACGGAAGGGGTCGCGGCTGAGTGTTCCGACAGAAGCGCGCTTGAGTCGAAGCGCCCCGTATGGGAGCCGTGGGAGAGTGTCAGCGCGCCGCCCGTGTGGGGCGAGGGGAGCACAATTACGAGGGAGCCAATCATGGACTCGCTGCGTGGCGTGTCCTTGTGGTCTTTGAAGAACGACCCGGGCCCTGTATGGCGCCATCAGCGACGGGAAATAATGATACTCTCAAAGCGCACCATAGACGTTCAGCTTGTACATCTCCGCCACCAGCACCGCGTCCTGCTCGTCCGCATCACGGCCGTCGAGCAGATACGGCGTGACCGCCTCCAGGATCCCGCTCGCGGCAACATCCAGCCGCGCCGCAAACTTGTCGACGTCCAGCTTGCCCGCCTTGCGGTAGCGCTCGTCCAGCACGTCCGCCGGCCCGAGCCCGAACGACGCCGGGGCACACGCAGCCGCCAGCTGCGCGACGTCGCCCTCTGCAGGGGCGCAAAAGTCGACGAACCTGTGTGCGAAAGACTGTTCAACGCGGAAGAAACGCAGGCAAGGGACCCACCGTGTCTCGCCCGCATCCCCGCCCGTGTGGTAGTACACCCCCAGATCATCGCCGCTGACCAGGTGCACGCCGGCCGTGTACGGCAGCGTCGCGCTGAGCTCGAGCGCGCTCGAGAGCACCCGCAGGTGCTCGCTGGCGCTCCAGGTGCCAGGCATCGTCTTTGTAGTAGGAGGAAGGGAAGAGGCCAGACGGTCGCGAAGAAACAGCCGCCCATGGTGATGGGGTTGATGTCGATCGGCGCTTCCGTGGGCATGACGACACCCATCCGCGGCCGGCGCCCGTCGAAGCTTCTGTCTCCGGTGTGCGTCCGTAGTAACAAAGGCCTTATTTTTTTTGGCCGACGGCCCGTTGAGAGTCGCATGACCCATGACAGGTCCATCCACTGGCATGAATGGACCATCATAATATCATAACATGGTCTTCACTCACATTACTACTAGTAAACTCACCTAATAGGATTGTAGCCATACTTAATCACTGAAAGTAGCATATTCACTAGGATAGTAACTCACCCAAATCCTATGCTCACACTATGCTTCACGCTCAAAGGAAATGTTTCAGTCATGACCGTTTTCATGCCTATTATTATTATTATATTAAGCAGATATTGCTTGAATGTATGCACATGTTTGGCACTGGCCTCAGCAATTCATTTGCTCCACATTTCCATTTTTGCGTCACTGCTTTTAGTGGATTATTACGAACTGGTAAGACATCAGCCAAGGGGTCAATTCCATCGCCTGCCACCCAGCTGTCCACCCTTTCCGACTCCGACACTTCTCCCAACAAGTCCACGTTGTCAGCAAACAGGTTTGCAGCACTGTCAATGGGTTAGTGTTTTGGCGATGTTGTGGGGAAGATTAAAGATAGAGAGATTGATGTCAATTGGTGACGTGCTTCTTATCATCCCTTTCCTTTCCTGGCCATCTTCTGATTATCATGTTCTCACTGGTTTCCTTGGTGATCTCGGCCTCTCCAGCTTTTGACTCAAAATTTTCACAAGTCCAACTCTAACTCTGACATACTCTGATTCCGACTCCTACCTTGACAACTATTGCTCCTGTTTCTTGTAGGCAAGAAACACAAGAGGGTGTTAGGGGAACCCCCGCTTCGGCCTCCTCCGGACCATCCGAACGCATCTGAGGTGCATCCGACCGGTGCCCCCCCGGACGCTCGGACCCATCCCGACCCTCGTCCATTGCCTCCTTCACCCGCACAATCACCGATCCATCAAGACCCTCCCAACAATCACCTTGGGACAGACCCTGCGACACCGCTTAGGCCTTCTGCGCTCTACGTCGGCAGTTACGGACGACCAGTATATAGTTGGTGCCCTAGCAGGCGGACCCTTAGAGTTTCTTCTCTTTGGGTAGTCCCCTGCTAGGTCGGTCCCTCCATGTATTTCCTGTAGCTTTATTCATTTGGATCCTCCCCTGCTAGGCCTTCATCGGAGTAAAGCTCCGCACGAGTGTCAACACCCGCGGATGTTTGCACAGGTACCTGCAGGAAAACATCTGCAGGTTTGGCATCCGCGGATACAGGTATCCGTTTCCCACGGATGCCAAGAGTACAGGTATGACTCTGGAAGATCTTAATTTTCATTATCTTCTATATATTCCAGTCACTACAGTCTTCTTATGCCCTGTAGTGTCCATATCCACCTGTGTAGCCCAATACCCACTGTGTACTATCTAGTTCCCCCCAGCGGGGTGTCGCAGATAAGCCATGCTGCTCTCAGCATTGCCATAGAACTGAATAAACCTTGGAAAGGAAACTGAATAAATCTGAGCAGTTCTTAGGTTTTCACCATTTTTCGCACCAAGTCCACATGACTGGCTATTATCACCTCACTCATAGTATGAATAATGTTGAATAGACTGGGTATTTCCTAGTAGCATTGTATATAGTTTAGCTTATTAGTATATGTATAGCTATCATATAAGTGTATTCTGATATGAATAATAATGAATAGTAATGAATAATTCAAACCCTCTAGAGACTTGGGTTGAACTCAGCACCTGGGTTATATGTGTGTCATGATGTGTGACAAATTTCCCCAAAAGGAAATTTTCACTATTTGACTGTATAATCATCAGAGAATGTCACAGATCGTCACAAAATCAAAGTTGTGTATTTTGGCTATACAAACAACTTTCATTAAGTGACCTATAGTCGCAACTGAATAATTGTATTACTAGAATTGGCCAATTATTAGCTGATCTACACCTGAGTAATATATCAGCAAGTGGATAACTTATATAGGTGATTAAAGCACTACCAAGGCTACGTAAATGATAAGATCAATATCCAGGACAATAAAATGTTATTTGCATAGCTATATTATGCTATGATGATTCATCACCTACATTGACACTGCAATATCTCCACCAATCCTGCATCAAGTGAGTTGATTTTTGTACTGGTAGGTAGGTAATAACATAGTGTTGATATGCTCTGATGTGATCATGCTTATATATGTTGAGACTATGATATTATACCACTCTTTGGTAGTTGTTATATTTCAAATTTGATTAAACTCAATGATCACTTGATATCTTACTGGGAACTTCATGGATAAGCATAATCTAAGTTGCAATCTGGTCTAATAGATGTATATCATAGATATGGGAGCCCCCATAATTTTAGGTATTGTGTTTACCTGTATATATGACATATATCCTATCACACCGATCTCCCAATAACTTACTCAGAAGTGCGGGATCCCCAACACAATAAGAGTAGGAAGCATACGGAGGGGTCCCCCTATAAGATTAAATCTCCCACACCACATTATATACATACGAAATCTTGTTATTCCCTATTATAATAATGAATAGTACTGCATATCATATTGGCAATACAGCTATGATCTGCCAGTTTATTATAGATCAAATATGTGAAACTTGGCAAATGAGGTGTATACATCTACCTCCATACTCTGATTGATCTCTATATATTCTTGGAGGATGAATTGGGGTGAATATTCCAAGATGAGTTGGTTTACATGAATGGTAGGGTGTATAGACTGAGTACTGGACATTGAGATGCATGTATGAGGATATTTGGATGTCTAGTAGGACCCCATACTATAATCCATCATGGTTCTGGCATGTATTACAGAAGGTAGCTGAAGAGAGGGTAGGTACCCATAGAGCAAAAGAGAGTGTCCTCGCTATTACAACTGGTCAGAAATTAATTTCCAGTATGATGCAAGACTTGGATATAAGATGGTATAGACCTTCAAATGAACCTGTCCAGCACTTGAATCAGCCTCATAGCTATTCTGGATCTCTCACAGTACCATTATCAGTGTTATCTATCCCAATAATGATGAGTTCATCATAGCATGACCTTTGCAAGTCTGGGAAATCTGACTCTATTCACTAGTAGGAGTATGGTCCACCCTCTAGAAACTGGTGCCTGTACCCCTCTAGCATATCTCTATCCTGGGTTATATAGCACCTAAGGTCTCTATTAATTGACTGGCCCCAGCATTTGTCCCATGGTGGAAAATGAGTAAGGGTGTGCTAGGCTATCCTATGATATCATATCAACTTAGATCATGAGATTCCATGCATGTAGTCTTAGGATATCACCAAAATACTGCTCAATTTAGTATTCAGGCATGCTTGGCAGTAAATAGATCAGGGCAATGGTGACGAAAAATATAACTGATGTGACTCAAGGATAGTAGGATAGTATACCTTTCAAATGAACTCTATTTCAACTGTATCCACCAAGGCTAGCTGGAGATCTGTGCCCATCTTTCAGAGGTGATGGAGATCAAATTCTACTGATGAGTGAATGTATTGTATTATCAGTGCCATAGTCACTGGGAGTGAGGAGGGTATACACCAGGGGGTTTTGTTAGAGTAGCCAAACTTACAAGTCTGTCACCTTACATTGTTAAAGAACTAGATATTCTCTTTTTTATTACCGAATGATCAATATAGTAATCATATCACATGATGATGATCAAAATACTTCATAATCAATACTTGCCTTTGATACCCTTCCTGCTAGCACTTGATTCATGTATTTAGGTCGAGCAACTATTGAGATAGGAGCCCATCAGTTAAATATGAGCTCGTGATGGGTCAGTGCTAACACATTTATTGAGCCACCACTATAGGTTACTTAATAAAAGGTGTTTATATAGTTACAATACACAACTTTGATTTTGTGACAAAGTGTGACACTCTCTTATGATTCCACTGTTAGACTGTGAAAATTTCCTTTTTGGGAACTGTGTCATCCTTGTAACCTAACAGTATATATGGAGCTGATCTGGGCTGCACAGGTGTCTGAATTTCACTTACTACTATTAGGACCTGGTATACAATTTCCTTTTTGAGTAGTCCATGATTACACAGAACTGACTCCTATACTTGGGTATATAATCACTATTGAACATTATTCATACTATGAGTGAGGTGATAATAGCCAGTCATGTGGACTTGGTGCGAAAAATGGTGAAAACCTAAGAACTGCTCAGATTTATTCAGTTCCCTTTCCAAGGTTTATTCAGTTCTATGGCAATGCTGAGAGCAGCATGGCTTATCTGCGACACCCCGCTGGGGTGGACTAGATAGTACACAGTGGGTATTGGGCTACACAGGTGTCCATATCAGTATAGTACTTGATACTATATTCTATATAAGCTCTTAATATTGTCAATATACCTCAGTATCCTAATATTTTATTCAAAATACCTGTGGATAACCCGTGCAGGTACCCGTATCCGTGAGTACAGGTACCCGTTTCCCACGGATGCTGCAAATGCAGGTATTGGTTTTGAAGCCTAAATTACCCGCAGGTAGAGTACAGGTATTTATCCGTGACACTCGTGAGAAGCCTTACATCGGAGTCTCCAGGGTTGCCCTTACAGAGGGGGGATACTGTTATATTCGATTCTGAAATCTGATTCTAGTATTTGGTTTTTACACAATGAAGATTCACTAAGTGTTTCCAATTACTATGACTTCATCTATGCCTTGTTCCTTGTATGCAACCCCTTTTCTACCTCACTTGACTTTATTCTAATCTCGTTACTTACCTTGTTATCCATTATTCTGTTTCCGTTACTTCTCGTACTATAAATACTTTCATGTACTACTATATACTTCAGTTTGTAAAGTAATCCTCCTTGTGTCACATCAAAATGTGAGCTTAACTCTCCATTGATCATAACCATAGTTTTTGCTCTAGTATATAAATTTAGAGCACAGTTATAAAGGTGTGGCGGAAACCCCATATGGATTGAGACTTTTTTTAGATATTCATGGTACCCTCAATCACTTCAGTGTTTACCATGAATTTGGTTCTCAAAAGGTGATCCAAAGAGGACCAGTTTTTGTATACATTGCATTTACGATCAATTTCCCCTTCCCTTTTGTGGAAACTATCTGTTCTCAGCGCAAAAAATTTGGATAAAAACTTGTGCTTTTTAAAATCAATTTTCAGGTGCCAAATTTACAGTAAAATCTGGAGTGAATTCCAATGGCAGAAATACTGTGGCATCTTGCATAGAAATCTCCACCTCTTTACTGTACTAATAAACTGCAAGTTCAGTGGGTCACCCATTGAAATCAAAATGTAACAACTTTATCATTGAAGAAATTATATATATGGCAGGCCAGCAACAGCCAGCTACACAATTTTGATATATTGGTGCCTAATTGAGCAAAATTTGATGGTAAATCTCTGTGTGTTGTTTAACTCATTTCAATTAGATTCAGTTCAGATGCACATATAATGTGTAACTTGAACTTGCAATCAGATTAGTAGAGTATAGTGTTGTCCAACGATATAACACAGAAAATATATTTTGAAATATATTTTGGAAAATACACACAAAAACTATATCTTTCAGTATAACTGAAAATATCTTTGTTGTACTTTTGAAAAGCACTGGAATTGGCGCTGAAAACAATACTATTAGTTTATCTGACATCTGTAGCAAAAGATAATGGTTTCAGCAACAGCCTTTAACAGCTGCCGAAAACACAGTTGAAATTTTTTGAAAAACTACCCAAATGGGACACTTTGGAGCTAAAGATATCACTAAAAGATCCAACGTGACTGTGACTGGAAAAATTGAACCAAATGGGTCAGTATTCTTAAAGTGATGCTAAAAGCACTCCTTTCAGCTCAGTTTATATCTCATCTGAAATTTGTCCTATTGAGGACACTGATTTTCATGCCAAAATAAATGATTTCTGCACAAATTTTAGTTTCAGCTGAGAACAAGGATTTTAGGATGCAACTGAGAATTGTACCAATAATTCCAGTATCAGAACCCTGTGGGGAACTTGATGTTGTGATGCATGGACTTTAGTACCATTTTCAGTTGTGTACTAAGTACTTGAAAGTTGAAACCTTGTTTTCAGCTTGAACTGAAATTGACACTCAAATCATCACGACTAATACTGGTGGCAAAGCCAATGGCAGTTGGAAGGGGTCCATCAGGAGTTTGAAGGCAGATTTTTTTTTTACTTGGTTTCAAACAAAGATTTCTTTGTTTGCCCTTCTACTCCCATTGGGCCTCCCTCTGGCAAACTGCCACAGTGTCATCAGGTATGAGTAAAGCCTCAGATAAGGGGGTTAAATGTTTGTTTGATGCCAGTTCTCAAAGTACAACAAAGCTATATTTAATATTCACAGTGCTCTATCAGGCATCCTACCATTCAATTTCTTTTTCATGTTTGGTACTCGCTGACAGTAAGAGGGAACTTTGTACAACTGAGTCAAGCATATGGAGAGTGGCATACTAGTACACTGTTAAAATCCCATAATTGGATCTTCCCACTCTGCTTCAAAGTCGACCACTTGAAGTCCTTTGCTGCGCGCCGTTGGAAGAGCAGCGCAAACGGCGCGTTCAAATGCCGAGAAAAGACAATCCGGGCCCAGCTCAGCCTGGAGGTGATCCATCTTTTCCTCTACAAAATGGGGGATATAACGCACGGACGTGCGTTGGTCAGAAGACAAGTAGCCGGACAGGATGTGGTCGAGGGACTCCAGGGAGTCGGGGTGTGAATACGAATTTTGTCCTTCGATGTGCGTGATGTTGATCTGTAGGTCGATCTGGCTGAGCGCTGGAAGGTGCTCTGGGCCTTGTCGCAGGGTGTTGTAGAGCAGCATGGGGAGGAGCATAGGCGGGAGCGGACTTGGGCGGAGACGCTGCCCCGAGTAGTCGGCATCGTCGAAGCGGAGGAGCAGGTAGCGGAGGAAAGGGAGGAAAGGAAGAGTGAGATCATATGTGTATTCGATCAGTTCGTTGTTGGTATCTGAAAGAGGCCTTGGTTTAACGATGTATGACGACAAATGGGACGTACCAAGGAGCTCTAAAGAGAGATATTCCAAGGTGTCACCGATAACAGAGCACAGTTCTGGGATCTTGAACACATTATTGCCGAACCACTCGGAGGTGTCCAGAATCAGCGCTCGGAGAGAGCGTGTGTATGGGACGAGGGGGTTGCACAAGCGATCAGGCGCAGCGAGAGAGTAGATGTTGGATCGCAGCCGCTCGAGCGGTTTCTTGATCGGCGGGGTGTCGGCCTCGCGGCCCGGGTCTTGGACTCTAAGGTCAAAAACATTCACCGTTGTGCACGCGGTGAGGAAGCAGTGGAAGACGTCCCCTGGAACATCGAGGAAGGAGTGGACCGTGATCTGACGAAGCGTGTTGCGGCCTTTTGCAGCCTCGATGAGTCGCAACACGTTGTCCGTGAACACGTGTGAGACGGCCCTCCACTCCATGTTCGAGGCGAGGCTTGGGGGCTCGAAGAAGTAGACTTCGAGGCGCTTCACGTTGGTCATGCACTCGAGGATGTACTGGAGCAGGAGAAAGGCGTCCTCCGCTTCGATGGGGAAGTCTTCGTCCCAGTCGCAACACAGGGACAGAGTCAAGTCGGCGACGTAGCTTCCTAAACGCGGGAAAGCGCGAAGATGGGCGGCAGCTGAGGTATAGCAGAGGGTGCTCCGCAGATCCAGACAGTTGGTAAGATTGACCTTCTGCCACAGGCGCTGCTGACATGGGTCGCAGAACGCTGGGCTGACAAGGGAGCACGACTTGAGGGTAAGGGAGTCCGTAATGAAATCGACGATACACCCGATGAGCTCTGGAGGCATATGGGCGGTCATGGTGCAAGTAGCTGAGCGGCCTGTGCGATAAGAGGATGGTGGAGAGATGCAGAAGCGATAGGCGCTAGTCAGGATCCTTTCGATCGCTTATATCAGAGGGCCGGGTATCGCGGCCCGGAAGGACGGATAGCTAGTACGGACGCCGCACATCCTCTTTTGGGCTAAGGCGAGAGTAGTGGCAAAAGAATGAATAGAACTTGCCTGTTTTGTCTCCCGCCGTCCGACCTTTAGCGCACTACTCGGGGCTGCTCTGCGCAAGTACTAGTCGAGACTCGATGCCGGCGATATGATTTCTGTTGTGGCGAGATAACGTCTGGTTCACAACTGTTGACCGGCTGACTGTGCATAATAGATTGAATAACAGCAAACAAGAAACAAGCAACACAAACAACAGTGATAGCGGGCAAATCTACAAGACAAGCGTCCAACGAACGGGCAGCATCCATAACAATACACGCAGCAAGCAATTTTAAGCATCGTCCTTCCGCGCCGCGGACTCGACGACTTGTGGCGTAGGTGGCGGCGGGGCCTTTGGTGTCCCTGGGTGGCTGACACTGGTGGCCGTAGCAGCGCCGGCTGGTTCTGCTGGTGTTGTGGGGGCAGCAGTTGGCGGAGCAACGTGCGGTGGGGGATATGGCTGGGGAGGAGACCGACGGAGAGTCGATGATGCAAGTGGGCCGCGTTTATGAGGGAATTGCTCAGGACGCGGGCGAGAATGTGTGCGTTCAAAAAGTCCGCACTTGTTACACAGCTATTGAAAATGCTCAGGGACCCAAACAAGAACGAAGATGAGTAGACACACCACTTTTCCGGGACTCAAATTAGAACGACGCCAAGTCGAAGTATCGGTTGTGCAGCTACGAAGAAAAAAAATATTAGTCAAGACCTCAAACGAAAGAAGGACTTACCAGTTAAAACAACGTCGACGAACTCTATCGCTCAGCTTCGTGGCCGCGTCATCGGTGTGGATAATCGGAACGTTGGGAGCGGCGGCGTTGGCAGTCGGAGCGGCTGGTGGGGGGGTAATACGCGGAATACTGCATCGGATAGCCGGCATAAGGTGGATATGGTGCATGAGGAGATCGCGGGTCGTATGGGGGCTGTTGTCCGTCAGCACTTGGAGCGGGTGGGTAAGTGCCGGGAGGGGCGTAAATGTAGGGTGGGGGAGGATAGCGCGGGTCGTATGGGTAAGCCGTAACGCCCGTTGTCGGGGCGGAGGCGGAGACTGGGGGAGTGCCCGGGGCAGATGTGGGTGGGGAATGATGAGAAGGGGACGTTCCAGCGGCCGACGACGGACGTGGGCTGGGAGTAGGTGGTGGGAGACTGGCCATGGGTGGTGAAGGAGCAACGGCTTGGCGAGAGGCGGCTTTGAGTGATGAAGAGTGAGAAGCTGAGGTTGAATATGTCTCGACGCGATGGGGCATCGACGATGAGGAGTCTGGGTGTGGGTGCGGGCTCGATGGACGAGGGGTAAGACGAGCGACGGTGACGAAGTTGTTGTAAGCGGCTGGATCAACAGCTGGATCGCGCTTTTGTCCTTCGACTGTTGGCTGTTCGGGTCGGTTAGGGCTGGGGAGGAACAAGTGGGTCAAGACGTCAACAAAAGCGCGGGGTTTATAAACGCCGTACCTCGCGGTCGACATCGATGATGATGATCAAGATGAAGAGGGAAAAAACTCACACCAAAAGTCTGGGCCACGTCACCTGTTGATCGATGAGCTGGCTCGGTTCTTTATATGGCTTGACGCGTAAGCCGGCACGTCACGGCACCGAGGCTGTGCGCACTTCTCTCCCACTAACGGCCACCACGACTACCGACCCTGCAAGGCGTCGTCCTGTTTGCGAATTGCATCGTCCTCTGTATACGACACAGTCCTGCTCCTCCCACACTGCCGAATCAGACCGAGATCGTCGTATATCACACTGCCACGAGAATCCCGCTCAATCCATTAACGATGGGAAATATGTGCACTGGAATGAGGGATGATGTCCGATCTACTTCCGGCTTCCCTTCGATCAACTTCCGCGTTGATTATCAGCCAGCCAACCCATCCCCTCCTGTGACTGGCTGACGACGACTTCAATCCTAGTCTGTCTCTTTCGAGGCAGTTACTTTGCTCCCATCGCTGTTGCCGTCGTTTGTGACGTTCTCCAACACATCGGTCGAACAGATTGATTCAAAACTCTCGAGTAAGGTACTCTTCATTCCATTTGTTCCCATTGATCATGAACGATTCAAAAGTTTGATAGCTTAGATTCACAAGTCTATGTATCCCTGCGACGGCATTATTCGCTTGGATATCGTGCCTGCTAGTGACGAATAGGGATGGAGGTAGACCGTATGCAACGAAGGAAGCAACTCGAGCCGTCGTCCCACCCGAACGCAGCACCGCGCGCGACGTCCTTCTAACTGCTATCTCCTCGACGCCTAACATGACCGCCGTTCGGCGTCGAGGTCCTGAACCATCTCGTTTCGTCTGCACACAGCCTCTCAGGCTGCTGTCAACGGACTTCAAACGCTTTCTCCGCAAATAGCGTCTCGAGAGTCGACGCTCATGGTCAACAATCCATCGCGGCATTGATCAACTCTTGCAAAAAGGCGTAACACCCTTGGGGTGCCGATGTATCTGCCGTGCAGCATTGCCGCGATAATCAGAACGGTGTCGGCAGAAAACACTCCAGTCTCCAGGACCTAGGACCCGAAACCGGCAAATTGCGCAAACGCCACTGTTCGACATCTCGCTGGACGTACAACCGCCAACGCTTTCTGTCCGATAGTGAGTGAGTGCTGTCAATCCTCGATCATTTACGCCCATTCGTCATCCCACAGGTACCTCTGCCAGTGCCCCAGGTATATGGCTTCTGGCTGTTGGACGGGAGCATATCCAAGGGGTGCCTTATGTTAGGCCGTTTGCCCGGCGGCCCCGGCGTGAATTCTTCATCCAATACCGAGGCCATGTGCTGTGCGATTGAGAATAGAACTCAATACCACCAGGATAGTAATACCACGTCTGACTTATCCCGCACTCTCACCCCCCGGCTCCCGTCATCAGTCGCCTTCGATGGTGTCTGACCGTTCTGATTGGAACGGAAGTTGATCATTTTATCCGCAACCAATCACGGCGTCTCCTGCGCTCTGCGCCACTGACCGCTCGAACTGAGCTGACAGGCATCGACATCTAAGTTCGGCTCATCCACCGCCGAACAGGTCTGGCTGATATCATGATGCGGGCTGGCATCCCCATGAGTCTTCCCGTCTGATCAGGGTGATTCGATAGCGTATTCGGGAGTGGGAGAACCACGCATTTCCTAGCCCAACGACCGAGCTCTCAGGACCGGAAACCCCTTGTGGTTGTCAAGGGCACACACGGCGCTGCGCCAAGCCCGAGAATAGCACGCATGCCGGAGGCTGGCAGTTAGATCCGGTACTCCAACTATTTCCATCTTCAAATAAAATATTTACAAATGGTAATAAATTGCAGCTCTGTTGGCACCCTGTGCCTAATGAAAGAAATTTGCCAGTTTTGATGGAGTGTGATATGTGACTGATGGATTGATTAAAATAGTACAGTACAGGAGATGGTTGGAGTCCTATTCTAAAAACAATATGATTATTTCCACATTCCAAGCACAAAGGATACCCTTAGAGTTTTTTCTCTTTGGATTCTCCCTTGACACCAGGGTTTTGGGCAAAAAAGGTGGTCTAGAGCAGGACTTTTTTGTGGCAGATACAGGCCTAAATCACTGGGGCTAATCTTTACATAAATTATGGGCTCTGATTTTACTGCACATGACCTGGAAATTACCTTATCTAAAGATTGCACGGATCTGGCTGGCTGATGCGGCCTGATTCAGGCACATGCGGCTGATATGGCCCTCCTGTCTGCAGTTGTAGCAGCAAGCACTGCCACAGGCCGTTGCAGGAGCTTAGGCCCAATTGATCTTTAGCCCAGTAGTGGGGGGGGGGTGTGACGGCCGCAGGTTCCCTGTTTCCTTTCGGGTTCTGCCACAAGGCCTATCCGTTGAATGGATTATGGTTACTGAATCCACGGCAGGAGTCATCGGGGGGTTTTGGCCCAAGGGTGACTGATTTTGTGACTTTCATTGAAGATACGGAACCGGCAAAGCATGGCATCCTGTTTAATGGTCTCTGATAAGGTTGACGTCATTGTAGTACACGACTTTGTTGAGGGAGTCGAGGATGGTGAAATAGCTGGTCGCATCCATATCTTTGGTTTGTGTAAGGGCAACCCTGGAGACTCTGACGAAAGGCTAGCAGGGGAGGATCCAAAGAGAAGAAACTCTAAGGGTCTGCCTGCTAGGGCGCTATATACTGGTCGTCCGTAACTGCCGATGCAGAGCACAGAGGGCCTGAGTGGTGTTGCAGGCTCTGTCCCAAGGTGATCGTTGGGAGGGTCTTGACGGATCGGTGATTGTGCGGGCAAAGGAGGCTGAGGACGAGGGTTGGGGTAGGTCGGAGCGTCCGAGGGGGCATTGGTCGGATGTGCCTTGGATGGCTTGGACGGTCTGAAGGAGGTCGAAGCGGGGGTTCCCTTGACAGTTTGGGTGTAGCTTTCCATTGTTTGCTGAGGGATCTTAATGTGAGCCTCCCCTCGGAAGGCCCTGATAAAAGCTTTTTCGAAGCTGTCGTATGTAGTATAGGTGTCAGCTGTGCGGTGTGGTAGTGGCTCGTGGCAGCCATGTCGCTACCACAGTTACGCACTTTTCCCAAGACACGCACCTACACATTCTTTCCTATCTCAACATATCCAAAGCACAAGTCACGTCCAACAGGGGGGCTCAGAGGGACTGGGGCTTGCATAACTCGGGATTGGTCACCCCTAGTGTTCGTCACAGGCCACCCGTGGGTAAATCTGGGGTGGCCCGCACCCGTCCTTGCCGATGCCCTGCACGGGTGCAGGTACCCGCACTTTGGCTAGCGGGCCGCTCGTGGCCTGCTTTCCGAAGGCCTGCCCGACATTTGTGGTGGGCAGATGCATGTTACCGTTGACATCTCACCTCGTAACGGTGTCTGGGCTCATCGGAGCTTTGTTCGGCAACATCTCGTCATGCAACAGCCTCGGCCCCAGCTGCTGATCACCAGTGCGCTGCGGAGGCCCGTTTTTGCGGCCCATCATGGGTCACGCTACCCGTGACGATCACTAGTCACCCAATGTTAACCCTGAGGGTAGCAGCGACGCAGCCCTATACGACTTGTCCTTACCCCTGGTTGCTATGTTGGACAAGACCCAAGCGAAGCATTACAGTATCTATGGACTCCGACAACTCAGTACCACACAGCAACCACTCAGACACCGAAACACGCGCCTTACACGAGGCCGGAACACGGTGATGAGTGTGGAGTGCAGACTGCAAATGAGCTCTCTAACTAACCAAACCAACAAAAACAACCAAACTCCACTTTTCGTAGAGAGAAAGATGTATAATGTCGAGTAGGAAAAGTCACAAAACCCAAAAATCGTCAACTCCTTGTGCGAGTACAGGCCCCTGTGAACAGAGCCTTGGCACAGATGTGTAAGGTTGTAGGGTAGATACGAGTGCCCCAAAGCGTACTATCAATGAAACTCTGCAATAGAGAAGCACCAATACGATGCCCGGAGAGTTTATACTTGTGTTAAGTGCCGTGTCGACCAAAGGGACGGAGACGAAGACGGAGACGGAGACGGAGACGGAGTCGAAGTCGGAAACGGAATCGAAGTCGTAGAGCACTTGGGGCGGAACACCACAGAAGGATGTTTGGGTGACCGGGGCTTCCAGTTGACCAAGACAAGACAAGAAGGGGAGAGCGGAGTCGAGACGACGCTGGGAGATAGAGACCAGCAACGTTAATTTACAAACTGAAGTACGTGATAATACATCAAAGTATTTATAGTACGAGAAGTAACGGAAACGGAATAAGGTATAACAAAGTAAGTAACAAGATTAGAACAAAGTCAAGTAAAGTAGAAGCGGAGTTGCATACGAGGAACAAGGCATAGATGATTGCATAGATCATAAGTCGGAGTAATTGGAAACGCTCAGTAAATCTTCATTGCGTAAAAACCAAATACCGGAGACGGATATCGGAGACGGATGCCGGAGTCGGCACGGATATAACAGTATCCCCCTCTTGCGTTTCTTGCCCACAAGAAACAGGAGCAATGTTCGTAGAGGTAGGAGTCGGAATCAGAGAGAGTCGGAGTCAGAGTTGGACTTGTGAAAATTTTGAGTCGAAGGCCGGAAAGGCCAAGATCACCGAGGAAGCCGGTGAGAATGTGATAATAGGAAGGAGGCCAGAAAAGGAAAGGGGTGACAAGAAGCACGTCACCGATTGACATTAATCTTTTCATCTTTACCCACACCCACCATGTCGCCAAAACGCCACTCCAAGAAGAACCCCAAGAACCTTTTCGAGTCCGAGGTGGAGCGGGTAGACGAGCTGTCGGAGACGGAGAGGGTGGATGAGTGGGTTGAGGGACGAGATCGTGACCCCTTGGCTGACGCCCTACCGTCTGGTCAAAACCGGCGCGTAGAGGTGCGGAGGGAGCTAGAGGAGTTGGAGCGCAGAGCGGAGACGTTGCGTGCGCAGCTGGCGGAGATGGCACCAAGGGCTCCGTCACCGGGTGGTCGGTCGGATTCGTAT